CAGCAGCAGCATTACGGTCTGCCGCAGCTCTATCGATTGCCCTACCCTCAGCAAGGCCGCGAACTCCTCCCAGGCACGAGGGTTTAACCCTCGGATACGGGGCTTACTAGCCGCAATCAGGGCTTACAGACACTACACAAAAGGCTCATTTTATAAGCGAAGGTTCACTACCGTAAACAAAAACACCTCTATTATTAGATAATGTTCGATGACCCAATCAATAAAGGGTTTAACGAATCAATAAAGGGCTCAAAATATAGATGGGGGTTCAACATATTCATTTTTAGTCGCCATGCTGCTTATTCCTGTATCAGTTTTATTAAAGGTTAGTTTATCAAGATGTTTTTACTATAGGCACTTTCTGTTCCCTATTGACTTATTTCATTATCATTATATGTTATTGTTCTATTGAGAGTAATATCGCCTATGTCGCCTGTGAAGCTTTTTAGCTTATATAGGCATTCACACGGAAGCATTTTGTATTTTTTTTTCACCAAATTCTCGATGGTCTCTTGCTATGTATTTTTTGTGTGCTCCGCTGTGAATAAATAATAGAGATTCACCATATCAATGAAGGTTCACCATAAAGGTTCAACATATCGATTGATAGTTCAACGTATCGATGGAAACTTCAACATATCAATGAAGGGTTCATCATATCAATTAAGGGCTCAAAATATAGATGGTGGTTTCAGCACACTGATGGAAAGTTCACCATATCAATGAAGGGTTCAACATATCGGTGGAGGGTTCAACATATCGATGGAAAGTTCAACATATAAATGAAGGATTAAATATACCAATAAAGGGATCAAAATATAGATGAAGGGTTCAATATACCAGTAAAGGGCTCAAAATATAGATGGAGGGTTAAACATATCAACGGAAGGTTCATCATATCAACGAATGTTTTCACTGATCGAGATCAAGAACAGTGTCCCAGTTTTCCGCGCGTGACGTCATCTCATCGATCGGTTCGTAAGTGTTGATTTGTTGATTTTTCAGCGCCGAAAACGACGCTGATAACGAAGCTGAAATAAAAAATCTCCCCCGCCGTTCGACGATCGTAATTGCAACATTGATTATCATAAAATTTTCATAGAGGTTTTGTAGAAATTTGTTCAGAAAAATTTTGTTGATAGTCTTACATGAATAGTAATCAAACTTGATAAAGTAATCTAGAGATGATTCAAGTGGTATAAAAAGTTCGAACATTTTGATTTCATGATCTAAGTCACTCGTAGTAAAAAAATTGAAAAGTAAAGTTGTACATGGAATTTAGTACAAGAATTTGACAAGCGCAGCCACAAAATATGAATAATTAAAACCCTCGAGTGAAATATGTTGCTTCTTGGCCTCTGCCTTCGCCTCATTCACAATTCCGGGAAGAGGAAAGGATCTGACATCACTCACGCTCGCCAGTCCCGGTTGTAAACCTGTTTATTTTTAACAAATAAATATATTTTCACTAACCGATATGTGGCAAATAAGTCGATAATTTTAAATTTAATTTTATCACGAACTATCGTGACGTCAATCTCGCTAATTTTTATCAATGCTGTGATAGTTTCCTTGGCCCAAAAAAAACACCCGGCTTCTGTACGACATTGAAAAATTTGACGCCCAATCACCTCGACGTCTGGAGTGGCACTGCGGCCACTGTCCGCACTTGGCAGGGCAAAACCCAACCAAGAGAAGCAACTAAGATCAATGATATTTGTAATTTCATAATCGTGACAAACAAGTTCCATGTCAGTCATGTAACTGGAGTCTTTTGAATCATGCAGCATGACTATCTATAAATCTCATTGTCGCAATCACATTGTGACAGAAGGCATAGAAAATTAATAGTAATTGTGACAGCCAGAATAATAGATTTCAAATTTGACGAACGAATCTCTAACGACAAAAGCTTGGAATGTAGAGGAAAATCGTACGAGCTACGATGCTTGAAAGCTCAAGGGCGATGAAGGGCCTTCTAATTCATATGTGTTTCTTACAATATGTGAAAGGAACTTACTTGATTTGCCAGTCATAATGTGAGCACAACCAGCGCTCCTCAATCGTCGCCATGGAAACACAATTAAATTTGGGAATAGAGGTAAACTAGAAATAAAATAATATACATTTAAAAATTACTTTCTAAAGACAACACTTCTAAAGAATCCAGTGTCACCAATGTTACAGATGTACAATGAATTTCTCATTTTACTTTCGAATATTAAAAAAATTATGTTACAATTTTTTATATATATTTTTTTCCCAAAATTATTTATTCTGTCAATTGATTCATGCATTGCCTCCGACTTCACACAAGTGTGCAAAATATCAGATCAAGTGGACAGGTAAAAGTGTGTCAAATATCAGTTATAAGATTTGTAGCTGACAAAATTATTTTTTCAATTTTTTTATATCGAAAAATATTTTTTTTTCAATTTTGAAAATAATTTTTTTTTTGTCATTTGATTCATGCATTGTCTCCAACTGTACGCAAGTGTGCAAAATTTCAGATCGATAGGATAAGTAGAAGTGTGTTAAATTTCGATTATAAGATTTGAAGCAGACAGACAGACAGACAGACAGACAGACAAACAACAAGAAGTGAAGTTAAAGAGAAGTGTTGTAATAATAAATAAAACAACGCCGGTTAATTTAAAAATAGAATTCTTGAGTAAATAGAGAGAACCTCAATTCGGACCGACGTAAATTATAAGTTTCAGATACTGGTCCAATCTTGAAAATATTCATTATGTCTAAAAAATATTTTTGCTCGATCATGATATCTTCTTATACATTCCGTGTCAGAGATAGATAATTTCTGCAACCTCTGCACAGGCTTGAAGATTCTCAGATGGATCTTGACTAAATTCATTCCGTCCAACATAAAATAATTTAACTTATGTAGTTGGTGCCTCTTCTAGTTGTGCCTTATATTCCTACTAGCTCATATATGAATTCCTTCAGCAAATTAAAGAGTAATTACTAGTTTATTCGGCCGCATGCAAATGTTCAACAGGAACGAATAAATCTACGGACTTTGAAACCAGTATTTAAATAACCTGATACGATGCCATTTGTTCCGCTGACTTCGCGGCACAGCCTTTACGTCGACCTGGTGCCGTGACTCTCATGTCTGTATTTCACATTAAGTTTTCTTTAATTAACACCATTAGCTTGACTGTATTTCAAAACTATTAATTTATCTTACAGCACACACTCCATTGCGCGCAGTTCTCCCGAGCCGCCTATTTATCTAATGTCGGAAATAATAAAGTGTTGTGCTGTCTTATTTACGTTGCCATCAGGATTGTTATTTGCCAGAAAATTTGTGATGAAAATTGATCAGTAGTTTTGGTAGATCATTCTGGTTAGTCGCAAGATATGCAATACTAGAGGAAGAAGTGGTATTATTTCCACATATTCTTAATCGACGTAGGATTACCAACACAAGAATTCCATTAAATTATTTATTGACCTTAAATTATTCATGGAAATGAACGCTGAGAAAACGTATCAGACTCCACAGCAATAATCAGGCATTACAATATTGCTGTTTCTCACGTAATTACAGTTTCCGTCTACATGAAAAACACGAAAAAAACTACCTGTCATTTACAAGCAAAGCAATCATACGAAATAAAGTCCATTCATAACTGCTTAATAAAAACAAAAAATTTGCCGTTCGTATTGGACCGGAAATTATTCCTGCCTCTTGCTGGACGCCAGCAATCAGGAGAGAAACGAAGATTACTGTTACATCCACGCCGAACAAAAGAAATACTGAGACAAATTCATGATAGTGAATGAATAATCGTGGCAATGATAAAAAAACATCTTCCATTAAATGAGGATTATAGATGAAAACTTTAATACTGTCAAGTGGAGGCAAATTGAGTCGTTTTGAACAGTGAAAAATCTATATGAATAGATTTTAGTATTGGAAATAACTGTTGGAGAATTTTTGAAAGCGTCTTCACGAGGTTAATTGCTCCGAGCTTTGGAAATGAGCAAGTCCCGTAAACTAAAATTATATTTTAGAAATGCAATGTAAAAGTGGTTTAAGTAACCGAGAACTAAAATAGGAGATTGTTGCTTTCCTTTGAACATTTAGAAAAAGAAACTGAGAACGTGAAATTTCATTATTTCCGAATCAAAAACGTACATTTAGGAAGAATCATGAACAAAGTTCGGGCACACGTTTACATCCAAAAGGTTGCAGGATAGGTACTCGTAGTCCAGAGGTCTTCTGAATCCTAAGAATCCAAAGTTCTGAGGATCCCTTGGATCCTATGGCTTGCAGAATTCTCAGGCAAGTTTTCAGGATTTCCAGGATTCACAGGATCAGCAAGATCCTAAGCTTAGGTCCCTGAACTATACAGAGAGAAGGACTAATTACTAATTATCTTAGCTGAAGATAATAGCGGACTAATGCACAGAGGTAAACTGTATGTCAATTTAATGGTACGCTAGTATTACAAAATACAACTTCCATCAGGAATATTTGGTTACAGATATTCAGCTGCGGGACCACATTTAGGATAGGAGCGACAAATTGTTGCTTCAGATGAGCCAGGGAAAGAATCTGTATTTAACTAAACACGAATAAAGTAGCGAGGCTGAGAGAGTTAGAGTGAAGCATACGTCACACTAGAATTTTCACAGTATGACTCAGAAAGTTTAAGAATAGATGATAATATTTAATTAAATAGCTTCAATATTAAGAGTTGTAGGTATGGAACTATTGAATAGTTCTAAAGAACATGCTGCAAAAAATAAGATTTTAATGCGAGGATGAACTGGCTACTAAAAAAATATATAAATTGCAATACGCTGAAGAGCACCCAAGCTCGGATTTGGGCACATGCTGAAAAAGTACATGGACATTTCTGAAAATCAGTTCAGTTTTGAAGCTGGATTGAAGGATATTTTATATGGCAATATTTTTCTACGCAGACTGAAAAATTATACTTAATTTTAAAAATCCGACGCAATTGAAAAGATTAATTAAAAATTAATATTAACCAATTAAAGCAAATTTAATTCTAAAAGCGTTGTTCTTGACCTGGCGTTGACAAGAATCTCCGTGAAAATTATTTATGGCACAGCAATAAAATCTAGAGTATATTTGCTTGAACAAACCAGATTTCATTTAACCATTATTTAAACAAGGGTGGTAATTTCATTCAACATTATTTTCTGTCAATGAAATAAAAAAAACTAAGCTGGTTTAAAGAATTTTGCCCAGACAACGAACGTTACGACAGTTCCATATTTTGAACAGAAGCAGTTAGAAAAATGATTAAACATGCACGAAGAAGTTTTTCCTGAGACGGACACAGAAAAACTACTGAAAATGTAGATGAAATTTCTGTAAATGAAGAAAAAATTCCTGCAGATATAGCAAAAAATCCGTGACGCTCTCAACGCAAGCTAAATATGACAAAGTTGATTAACAGCCACGTTAAGATGAACAGCTCCCTAAAAATTAACTAAAAATCTTAAGTACGACTCGAAGTACGAATTAAATGGAGACGATTGGAGATACTGGAGAAATATTGACTATGAGGAAAGGTCTTCGGTTAAGCTAAGAGATGGGCTGAAGTAATTCTAAAGACTTTCCTGTCTAGGGAATTTTAATTCCATGTAAGGCAGGAACATCTTTAAACTTGATGACATTTCAGCCGATCTCCTTCACAGTAGAACCTCAACTGATCCTTACAAACAAAAATGTGCCTTGATCTTGCACAGTTGAAAAAGATCTCGATTGGCTCCCATTGAAGGAAAACCAGACTTTTTCCGGAAAAAACACAAAAGCTCAGCGAGTCCGCAGAATATATGAACGAAAAATATCTTGGGTGATTCTGAAAAGCATACCTAGCTAATTTTGAAAAGAATTTCTTAGTAATACAGTAAAGCATCCCTAGGCTATTCTGTGAAACATGAACTAAAAGCAGGCATGAATCAACGAACTTAGGCTACAAACTATACACATATGCAAATATACAAATAACACAGGTAGTTATATACACTGGATTTTCGATACAAATGAATTTAAAACCATTTTCTCTCTCCAGTCCTTTCTGATCTCAAGACCATAGCGAGAACCTGGTATTCCTGAAAAATTTTGCCTCGGTAAATATGAACATAAACAACTAAAAATGTTATCTAGAAACATGAATTCACTGACCAAAAAATAAAAAAAATATTGAATGGATGAATGTTAGTATCCGAATATTGAGCTGAGAAACAATGAGTCGTTCAATACGGCTCTCCTCTTTACAATAATATTCTGAACATTTCTGCCAAATGAAAGTTTGCCCAAAATGGAAACAAAAACACTGACAAAAAATCTTTTAACCAAAGGCTTCTGTCAAATCTTCTCAGAAGACACAATTTCCGCAGAATTTTCCGTGGCATCCATGACGAGTTACTCAACAATTCATAAACATCATCAGTACAGGATTGACTAAGCAATAAATTAGAGAGCCATTCACGGTCGCAAAATCTTGTCAAATGGGTAAATAGGTAAAACATTAGGTAACCCAGCAGCAACGACAAAATCCACTTACTCTTTATTACTACATAAAAACTGAGGAACTGAAAGAATCCCTTATTTTCTCCTGTTAGCAGCTCGCTCTATCTGAGCTTTGAGTACTTGCGCGTAGCTCGCTTCTAGTTTCCGAAATTTTGCTAACTCTGCGCTGGGCAGGCAGATTTTTGGCTGAGGAGCCGCCTTTTTGGGGCTCGGGGCGACCGAAAAGTTCATCTTGTTTGGCCGTGACTCAGGGTTTACTTCGCCGAACTTGTGCTGAAGTCTCTGAAAGTGACTCGTGTAAACGCCGCTCGAAGGTCTCTGTCTTAGAGCCTCGCCACCAAATGAACTTTGAGATGGAATGTTGCCGAGTTCATCAAGGGAGGTAATTTTGACATGAGTTCGGGATTTGCTGCTGTTGCGGGAACGATTTCTCTTGTTCTTGCGTTTGTTTTGGAGCTGCCGGTGGCGCTCGCACAGATCCATCAGATCCACCTTAGACCCAATAATTTTTGGCGGTGGTTCTCGTTCGTTTAGCTGCGACTTGAGCTCCTTTTCAGGACGCGAATTTGCTTTCTTTTTGGGAGACACCGAAGTCGATGCCACAGACCTCACTGCGTTGGCAGAGTTCAGCTCATTTTGTTTTAGCAGCGCTAATTCAGCTTTACTTTTGGGCTGCTGGCGTTTCCGTCTCCGTTGCTTGCTTGATGAACGCGAACTTGAGGAAGTATTGCTTAAATCCAGGGAATTAGGACGCGCAAGTTTGCCTGTCAAATGCGAAGTCTCGTCACTATTATCCTTCGGATTCAAGCACTCGGTGGAAGCAGTAGTAAAACTCGAGTTTTCGTCGTTTCCGGACAATGTTTGCAGCACGGACTCATCCGCCTCTGGGTCACCCACAGCTGTGGACCCACTCATTGTGGTAGATACTTCATCATCATTGCCAGTTGAGTCACAGACTTTCGAGGATTCGCAAGGTTCCTCAGCCGTAGCCCGCTCCGGAGACGAAACGAGATGTTCACCGTCTGAAACATTTTCATTCTTTTTCAGGACTGTGAATATCTCGTTGAACAACTCCTTAAAATTGGGTGCGGCTTGGAATCTGTTCTCGCAGGGATTGATGGGCGAAGTCAGGTCTAAAATGGTATCCATTTCGTGTACCTCAACGATTGGCGTCAACTCATCCATCCGATTCAGATGCGTTAGTTCAGTCTGGGTAGTCTTGTTACTAAGTCGACTTTCACCTTCCGAGAAGCCACTAGACGAAGTTTCCACTTCAGAAAACTCTTCTAAATTACTTTTTGGTCTATGGGTAGTACCAGTGATGCCACATGAACATTTGGAACATCGTTGACATTTTCGTAGCACATCCTCGTTAGTACCATTGCCGGGTAGAACCATGCTCATGGGTCCTGACATATCCTCGGCCTCGGAGGTGATATACACGCCGTTCTCAGCGTCATGTTGGGCCTTCATCATCTCGGCGCGGTCCCTCTCATCACCCGCTTTCAGAAGCTCTTGATACTTGTCGATGAGTAGCTGGTACTGCGCGTCCAGCTCCGACAGGAGGGAGTTGTGGGGCACTTCGCTGCCATCAGTGAGGGGCGACGTCATGGTCGAGTTCCCGTGACTCATTACTTGACCCATCGACGCCAGCGACTCCTGTAATAATAAGTTGGGTTAGCCTGGGGAAAAGTCATGGAGAAAATCTACGGTAAATCTAGTCTCGTGATGGTCGAGTGGTATATATTACCGAGGATGGAACAGAGTTGGGGTTCGGATCCCACTAACAACTGTGAAAATCTAGGTTGAAAGAGGCAAAGGTGCAAAGAAGTTGAGAATTAGATACAGACCGAAATGGCACAATCATAGCCGACAAAACTGCATTATGTTAAATTATTATATCAATACGTCATGAAAAAGACATGTCGTGGGAGAGGCTAGAGCACCGATCAGCACCGTCGGCACCGGTTCATTGCCATCACCGTCTGCACCGGTTCAGTGGCAGCACTGCTGCACCGGTTCAGTGTCAGCACTGCTGCACCGGTTCAGTGTCAGCACTGCTGCACCGGTTCGGTGGCAGCACTGCTGCACCGGTTCAGTGTCAGCACTGCTGCACCGGTTCAGTGTCAGCACTGCAGCACCGGTTCAGTGTCAGCACTGCTGCACCGGTTCGGTGGCAGCACTGCAGCACCAGTTCAGTGTCAGCACCGTCAGCACCGGTTCAGTGTCAACACCGTTAGCACCAGTTCAGCGTCATCACCGTCTGCGCCGGTTCAGCGTCAGCAATGCTGCACCGGTTCTGTGTCAGCACCATCAGCACCGGTTCAGTGTCAGCACTGCTGCACCGGTTCAGTGTCAGCACTGCTGCACCGGTTCAGTGTCAGCACTGCAGCACCGGTTCAGTGACAGCACTGCTGCACCGGTTCGGTGGCAGCACTGCAGCACCAGTTCAGCGACAGCACCGTCAGCACCGGTTCAGCGTCAGCACCGTCAGCTCACCTGACTGCCGTACGCCAGGACGCCGTTAGCAAGTCTAACGAGGCAGCCGCCGCGGTCGCTCGTCATTGAGTAGTCGTCCTCGATGCTCTCGTCGAACACCGTCGGGCTCGTCGACACGTCACCGCCGTTGCACAAACACTGCACACCAACAAGAAGAGTTTAGCTGACGCTATAACGGCACAAACACTGGGCAATTTTGTTTACTCAGCGTTTCTTTGGCACAATCGCTGCAAAATAAGAGAGTTTAGTCAGCGTTTCCGTGGCACAAAAACTGTAAACCTACAAGAGATTAGCTGACGATTTAGTGACAGACACTGGGCGAAATACAAGTTTACTCAGCTTCTCGTTGCACAGGCACTGAAATTATCAGGGTTTAGTTAATTTTATATAGTAAGAGACAAGAGAAAATGTATAGGCCCCGCAGCCAGCATTACCATATTAAACAGCAGCGCTCATACGCGTACCTACAGGAAAAATGATTGCTTGTGGAAAATTGAAGACAACGTCTGGCCTTCTACACACGCTACTGCATTGCATTATCCTTTCGATATGCAAGATATTTATACTAAGAGTTGTAGTATACTATCCTTACTTACAATAAGAAAAATTCAGTATAAATAGTTTTTTCATTGAGATGCAATGTGGTTAAACAGAGAGTTTTATTCTATATGAGTAATTCAACACTTAGTCATCTTTTCACATACCGCCAAAAAAAGCTGACCATTGATCGCGGCACTGGTCACTTATTCTGATTGATTTAAATCCGTTTTGTGTTAGGCATAATAATGCTAACCTTGCGACACACGCGATGCTTGGCATCATCCTCCCTGTCCTCGTCCAGCGCATCCAACTCCTGCCGCAGCGTTGCAGGAACCGCCTGCCGCTCCTGCAACTCAGCGACTTGCTGCAAGACAGCATCGTGCTCCTGCAACACAGGATCACATTAATATTGGCAATTAACACATGTATTCAATAACGCCAACCTTAAAGTCAATAACTCCAAAAATTTGTAGTCTGCGTTTAAGCTCAATAACTTTACGCTAAGGTATGTGTTAGGCGTGAATCACGAACGACAGGCAGCTATAATTTTATATGCGCAAAATTACAGTAACAACATTGAACAAGGTTCATCAAATACCATGAGACAAGTTCATTTCTCGAATATTTTCAAAAATTTCGTAACCATTCTGAATTATTGAAATTCAGAATCGCAATTATTACTGATGATGGATAAATCGAACGTGAAATACAATCTGATTCATCCTTTATTGACAAATCGTTGAGAATTAATCTTGTTTAATTAAACCTAGTAGTAATGAAGAATTAAAACTGTACCTGTACTCGGTAGGATTATAACGTTACAAGATTATGTAGTCTGACTAGAGTTAAATAAAAATATCCAAATTTAGAGTGTATAATATTAAGATATATCACCTTGGCGAGTGCGTATAGTTCCGTCTCGACGTCGTCGCGCTTGCGAGTCTACGCGTCGAGTTTTGCTCTGAGTTCCTTGACATATATCACCTTATATTAAAGTATTGACCTTATATTAAAGTATTATATTAAGATATATCACCTTGGCGAGCGCGTATAGTTCGGTCTCAACCTCGTCGCGCTTGCGAGTCTCCGCGTCCAGTTTGGCTCTGAGTTCCTTGAGTTGCGCGGCCAGCTGCTCCGTGACGTCGTCCCCTTCTTCGTCGCCGCTAGAACGCTCGTCCTGATTAACGATTTCAATTACAAATAATCCTTAAGACGTGATGAAAGACTTAAAATATAAACATAATTTTAGAAAAGAACATTATTGTTATAGTATTGTCGAATATTAACTGCATTTTAGTGTTTGTATATTAAAATTATTCGTTTCGTCACCAAGTGATCATCTTCAATAAGTACATCTTCACTATCGTGACCAAGCTTTCACCACAATGAAATGTAAATTAATTTTGTGGTTGTGGCTTTATTTCGCGTCTCATGCTATATTGATATTAAAATTTAAATACAACTAAAATATATTTTTTGAAGATATATATTTCTACCTGGTTGGAGTTCTCGCACGACATCGAGCGCCTAAAGAGGCCATCCTCCACGCGCCTCTTGAGCCTCCCACGCGCGGCGGTGAGACCGGCGGTCCTGGCCTCGTCTACGGACCGCTGCAGCTCCAGGTTGCGGGCCTCCAGCCCCTCCATGGCGGTCTGCAGGCTCTCGATGGTACTCTGCAGGCTGTAACAGTCCAGACATGTTAATAATCAACACAGATGCAGCCTCTCGAAGATTTTCCACATCCACACCAAAGACACATTTTAAATTCCGACATATATATGGTCCGCAGCTAAATTTTAATGCTAATTATCCCGATACTGAATTTTTTTTTCATAACCGTAGCAAGTATTCAAGGGAAATTGCTGGCACGAACCTTTTAATAGTGCGGCGGTCATGGGCCGCTTGCATGGCGAGCCTGGCGTTGTCCTTCTCGAACTCCTGCATGGACACCTCGAGCTTCTCGTACACCGTGAGACGCGTGTCGTTCACCACGCGCAGAGCCGCCGTCTGACGGTTCAGGTACTGCAACATGCAAACATATTACATTTAAATCATTGAAGATGCAAATATATTACATTTAAATGTTGGCATTGAAGATGCAAACATATAACATCTGAAACATTAGCATCGAAGATGCAAACGTATAACATTTAAAATATACTGGCTTTGGAGATGCAAATGCACAAAGTATAAAACACTGGCTTTGAAGATGCAAACACATAACGTTTTCAACATTCACCTTTAAAGGAGATAACATATAATTTTCAAAATATTAACTTGAAGAATGGAAGTAGGGCGTAGGTAGTGGGTATTGTTGTCACGCCGACATTAATTAGAAGTTATAATTTAGAACGTAAATGCTTGTCAAATTTAACACTGTACCTAAACAAGAAAAAAAAACACGTACAATTTAATATTGTACACGATATATTTTTTCTAGTGAGTAGAAAATATTCACACTGATTAATTATTTAATTAGAAATGAGCAACCAATTTCATGATCATCATTGTAGAGCCACATAATGATGATCGTGTACTCGACTTCCCGATCTAACGACGATATTGATGGCCGATGACCCACACGAGTGCCTTTACGTCTCTTTATTCAGGGCATGTACATTGTACAGTGGCAATATAAGCACTGGTACGTCACTTGTCATTTAGAGACCGCAAGAAGTGACAGGAAACTTGGAGCAGTAGTCCGAAATTGAGATAATTAGCAGCGCCTAATATTGGGAGCAGCGAGCAAGCATGTCAGCTCGACATAGCATCACGTAGTGACCGACTTAGCGGGAAATTCTTGTAGTTTGGCGCGTCCGTGTGAAGCTTGGCGCGCTTTCTGATGACCTCAGCAAGCAACGATCATAAATTAATAAACACAGATGAAATTTTAACTTTGAATTTATTTGAATTTAAATTGTTATATCAAGAGGCTCCATTTCAGATCATTAGTGGTTTATCAAGTTTTTCACGCTCTAAAATTCATCATAAAATCCTTGGAGTTAGTTGTTTCAAATTCAAGTTCAAAGCAAATAAAAATTTGAAGTAACTTAAATAGATAACTCATATTTGAAGTGCCATCCTGTGTTGTAGATATACTATACCAAATCCATTACAGTACAAGTATGGAAATATGTATTAAACCAATGTTTCCCTTCAATGTTCCCCAGTTAACACTCATTTCACGCAGGGATTCTCACCGCGGGCCAGTCAAGGTTTCCCAAGGTAGGCATGATGAACGGTGACAGTCGAGAACGGGACTGGCGCTACAAAGGAAGTTCACATCCAAAAGTGTCAGAAAGAATCTTTGTCGGGAAATATAAGGAGTGACTCGCAATTACATTGTCAAATAAAAGAACTAAATCGTTATTTAGGAACAGAAACCAGGCTGCTAGACGAGTATGCGGTGCACGTATAGGCCTCTTCCGCAAGTTTATAACTGCAGGGAGGTTAAATGGGACTGTGTGGGTGATGAATTAGAGCTATCAAGAGGACAGTTACGTAGGTTGCTGAAAAAAGCGCTTAACATGCGCGGGCAAGCAAACACAATCAAGAAAACTTAAACCTTTCACATCGCCTGTTTATTGTTTTAACTTGACCATTCAGTCGAAAACGTGAAATAATTTATGTAGAGAAAAGATCGTAGAATAAATAATTATTAATCCATATGAGTTACTAGTTTTACGGGTTACACACATTTGTAGGCATCCAATATACATTTCATACAGTATATATTCCAACAAGTTCATTTGAAAACATTTTAAACCTTTTTGTAACGATATTGCAAGGGTACTTCCTCTCATTGTTGTAGTTTTTTATACGTGTCAGTTCATCAGCAGTAACCCAGGAACCGTAACACACAATATACGACAGAAACCGTCGCAACTAAACGTACATTCAGCCATGTAGTTTGAAGGCTTGCTAAATGTTTACACTTCTCTCTGTAATCGTTGCTATTATTCACAGTAGAATTTTCTTGTCATCGTTAAATCGTGCAAATAGTGTACGAATTTCTACAGCTATTATCTCCACCTAGGCGAACCCACAGCCTAGCTCATCAACACCATGCACGATCGCTTCCATATACGAGCATCATTCAGTTCTTATCTAAACAAATAATAAATTGAAATACGGAAGCCATATTCCTGCGAAAAAATTTAAGGACAAGCGCACACGAGCAGGAAACAATTTTCTCACTCGACCACACCACAAAAGGCTTTAGAATGATCGATGTAGGCGACGATTGCCCGATAAATTTCCAGAATAATGGCAGTGCAACAGCCGAACATCGACCTTAGGTTCAAGCGGCTCGCGCAGGCGATTCCTGTATTCATTCAACGATGGTAAACGAAAGTCTTCAGCCATCAAGTAAACAAATTCTGAAACGTATTTCGAACATAAATGCTGACTATTTGATGTAGGTGTCGAGTCGGTGCTAATTGGTACTTTTAATGTGTTAAGTATGAGAAAATTGCACAACCTTCCGTGGTGTTCAATGTACAGGCCATTCCAGTATTAAAATCGCTGCGTCATGTAGCTTTCATAAGGCAGAAAGCAACAATATCTTTTGGTGAGAGCTCAACCTGCCACTTCGACGCGGTTGTGCGCACTGCAACCTGTAATCGATGAGAGTCAGAGTTCGCTGCTTAATCGCACTACATACAAATAGTGAACTATACGTTCCGGAGTGTTAGAGTTCAGTGCTTGATAATATAATTAACAGAGTTCCTGATGTTTTTACTGGTTTTCCGACTGGATTCATGAAATCTTAGATATCAAACACAATCGTACTATTTTATGAACGATATCCTACCTTGATTACGAACAAAATTTTTCTCGATTATTAACACAATGCTACTAGATAATGAATAAAATACCTTTGATTGTAGAGAATCGCATGCTGAGTTCAGCGCTTCCTTTTCTCAAACTGGAACTAAGATCTATAAGTTGTAATTCAAAAATTTGCATAATGAGGTTATACCTTTGAATATTATGATTGTAAAACAGTGGAACTCAATACATATGTGATTTGGAGGCCTTTTCTTAATATTCGAGAAACTAGATTGACATTTGCAGACAATAATATTCAAACGCTCAAAAAAGCAGGTAAATCTCAGTTAAAAGCCATCACGTGTGTGATATCTTAATTTCATTGCCAACCTTACCTGGCGACTAGAGAGTGAAATGGTCGTAATATTTCTAGGTTGAAACGGATTAAGAAAACCAAATAATAGCTGAAAAGTTCAACTTCGATACGCTACTTGGGCTTCAACAAACGTGACTGTCTCTACAACAGGTCACGTTCTCAGCGTTAACCTGAACACCATTCCATAAGCGCAAAACGAACATATTCTTTGTAAGGTGACACATAGAACAAATCCTACAGTTTTTTACGCTGTGTAATGATCGAAAATGTAAAGTTTTAGCTGTTGGCGGTTGAGTAGCAAATAATAATGACCGGATCTAAGTACTTGTCTTCAAATGGTTTGGCCCAAAGTAAACGTAAAATTTTGACCAGTCAAAGTAAATGCACAATAAAAATACAACTGCGGTAAGTAATTACAAAAAAATTCTTTAGTGATTTGAGCTCGCAGTGATTGAGGAACGTACAGACAAATCAGTAGTTCTGTTTTATACAAAGTGACTGCTAATTCAGGATTTATACTTATTATCCCACTTGTATTTCAATTAATTATACATATTATACAAGTCAAAGTTCAAGTTTCACCATTAAGGGTTAGCATAACGTAAATTATACTGCGTGGTTACGGACACTTGCGGCTCGTCATGTGAAATGCGTGACACAAACGTAGTAAAAAGTGTCAGTTCACACAGAACGATGAAATTCGCTTGACTTGCATCGGGACGTCTCGATTCACGGCATAAGAAAAGAGATACAGTTTTTCACAAAAATAAACGAAATACAAGCAAACTTAGCATCGAGTGAAACATGGGTTTACTGTACTCAACATATTAGAAAGTTTTTACTAAGAATCACAACGCATGCCTCGTAAGTGTGAGTAGTATCCCAAGCTCCACTTTGCAGTGCACGTAGAAAAGCCTTCACAACCTTAACCGAATAAACACCACTGCATACTTGTGCTTTACAAAGATAAATTTAAGACCACATTGCAACGTCCTAACGTTTTCAACGCTGATTATTCTACAGCGTATTTTCGAAAATTGTCGATAAATTTTGAAATTAATTCAAAATGAAAAAGGCAAAAGTGATGCAATTAAAAATAAGCAAATAAGAAAAGGTCATCCGTGAATAAAAAAAACTAACGACACAATAAAGAAAGCTATACGTTCGTGTGGAGGTGAGGCAAGAAATTGCTCACGGACCGGAAAATTTGCTGGCGTCGCTATCCGTTCGATGAACCCTCACGCATTTGACTTTTTCCCCTCGTCAGGAGAGGTGCAGCAACTCTCCTAATGAGTGATAAACGATCGAGAGGCTGAAATTCACTGATCATTAATAGATAGAGCAATAACCATCCGTCTTTGAAAATATTTTACATAAACTTGTTCAAGAATTTTGAAGCGAAAACATAACATGCGTAACTATTTTAGCTCACGAATTCTCACGTGAGAGCATTTCATGGAAGTCGCTTAATTTGATCAAGGCAGGCTCAAAAAGTTATGTGCAAATAAAGCGTACCTACAAAGATGCTGGCACGAAATAACGAAGGTAACGGTGAACATTTATAATTACGACAACAAGCAAAACACCCGCCAGTATTGAAAAAATAGAATAGCAAATAAGGTACAGAAATAAAATTATTCCACTAAAAATAAACGTGCAAAAAAACTTTTACAGAAGTTTTTTATACCGGTTCGTCATTTCGGAAGTGGTTCGGAAGCGCGATGAGGCAGTCAACCGGCAGCAAGTAGCGGCACCCAGTTAGATATATGCCGAGCATTCGACCTTCTCAGCAACCCAGACATTACGCACCGCAGCGGCGGCCACTGCAGGCGCCACTTCTTCGTGTAATTAGAGCTCCCCGGTACAAAAGTCGCGCCAATCAAGGCTTCTAAATTAGATAGTACATCCCTAGAACCGCTTCTTAAGTTCCTTGAAACTTCACAGTAACTTTATTTTTAATATTTTTTTTCGAAAACATCGCTGGCATTTCAAGTCATTCTGAAATATTTGAATGAATGGAATAAAACTTAATCAATGCATCAGAAATTTACACACTAATATTTCACAAGTAAAATCATCATCAAAGTTATACTCTCTTGAGCACGTGCATTAAACTCACGGCCGGAACAGCAAGTCATTATTAATATAATAATTTAATATATTAATATAGTGGTGTCTGGTTTGCGTGAGCTATATTGGCTTGGGCACAATTCTTCACTATCCGACCACCTTGCAAATTTTGCCCAAAATATTCACAACCAATCGCGGGTTTCAGACCACCAACTTCAATGTTGACGATCTTAACTACTCGTCCACCCCGAGATGCCAAAAACTTTCCGTTCAACCTCAACTCCCTTGCACTGAACTTCCATCAGGCAACGTGCAAGAAAAAAAAATACCACGAAACCAAAGACCAAAACTAAAATGCGTACAGCTTCTGGGCGGCGATTCCCTCGATCCCGTAACGTCGAAGTAGCGGCGTCGCTCTAACTGATGCGTGTGAAGTCATTCCTTCTCACTTGAATACATAATTACGCCTGGCGACCGTCCTGAAACACGTTCATTTCAATTGCGAAAAAATGCTTCGGAACAGCGGTATTATATACTTTATTATGTGATACTGAACCCGGGCTACGTTTTCTTGTCTTACAGCTTAAACTTTTCAACTCTGGAATCCAAAATGAAAAATACCATCAAATCAATTTAGGAGCTGCATATTTATGGACAAAGAGAGAAGATTCGATTTTTGGACCGCTTTCCTATAGAGATCTTTCTTGGTAAGAATCTATTCAAGAATAATCGAGCACTTCAATACGTGGCGATGCTTTTCACTTTCTTTTTAATTATGTACAAGATTTAATCGTTTCATATGACCTTACTTTTTATTTGGCTTTGACAATAATACCACAAAATGATTCAGTAAAGTGAACGACACAGAAACATCCCGAACTTACGTCAAACACACACGGAACACATGCCCAAAGTTAAAAGATCTTGAATGTCATGCATTAAAATAGAATGAGAGGAAATAAGCTTCGACATCGAGATTGCAGAACCGATCTGACAAAGGCTAGGGAAACGCTTTCAGGCACGAAAGAGTCAGCAACAAAAGCAACATTTAAAAAATGAAGTGTCAGCATAAAAAATGCAGAAAAATATTCAGAAAAATAGTTCTTCAAGAGGTACAAGGTTCGCAAAATATTATCCATGAGATTATGAGACCAAAAGATTCTGTTTAAGGTAAATACTATTTTCTTTGTCTGTGCGGCAAATCTACCACAGATTCGCGAATTTCATAATGAAATAAGTACGTTTTGCAGCGTGCAATAGCTACAAATGGCATTATGAACGACAATAATTTCATACTGATCAAACATGATTATTTTCTCAAAATGAAGTGCAACAAAATTTAAATTATAATAATGAACGAAAAACAATCGAGAAATATACATTAAAAAACTCTAACAACAAATCAATAAAATGCATGGGACAGAAGGCTGATCAACAGAAGTTGATCAGTTGCTCAACAAAAGTTGATCAGTTGATCAGCAATTAAAAATATTTTAGTGATAGCCATCCTAAGGCACCTTGATTCCTTGTTAGCGCATTTTCTCATTTATGGAAAAAATGCACTATTGTGCTCGCCATGTCCATCTGTCTGTCTGTCCGTCCGTCCGTGACCTCAAGTTTTCGTCGACGAGAAAATGCGCTCTCTGTCACTCGATCACTGCAGTGAATGCTGAGTTATATTTTGTTAAGTATGGCCCTTGGGGTTACGCAAGAGAATGTACTCTATGAACCCAGCAAATAAAAACAACAACAACAACTGCATCGAAACACAAGCCTGCACAAATTTAATTAGAAATTCCGCAACATATCTTGGAAATTATTAGCTGGTTTTATTGCGAACGCCGCGTTGCGCGATCTCGGGGTCTGCGGTCACGTGAAAAACTCAACCAGTTTTATTATTAATCAGAGCGGTCCCCTGTATAGGACACCACTGGCAATTCTTTATATGGTCGAAGAATGGCTGCAGCAGTTGCGTGCGACATGAGCAATTTTCAGGGAAACTTCAGTACGGTAAAAATGAACCACATTTGTTGCTTCTTGAAAATTAGTTTCGCACTTCACTGGTCGACATTTTCTCCCATATATAATTGGACGACGCACATGATTATCATTAGGATTGATTAGTCAGTCGCTAATAAACGAGGAACATAATTATGATAACAGGTGCAATTTTGTACTACGGACCAGTATCTTCACTAAAAAAAATATAAAAAACGCGTATTTTATACAATTTCCGGTCATCCTGACCGCTTACAAAAACAATATCCCGATATTTAATTCAAGTTTTATGCATTGACAATTTACAGAAAATAAGCTCAAAATCAACCCTGGCAATCTAGTGATGTTTGCCTGCATTTACAGTGGGAACCAAACATATACGGTATAGTACACCTAAAATTCTAAAAAAAATAATGCCACAGCATAGATAACCAAGATCACAAACTTATTTTATTTATACAATTGCTAGTATATCATGTATACGAACTCTAGATGTTTTGAAATGCGTCGCTGGAATGAAATACACGAAAGCTTTGTATTCATGCAAGTAAAATGAGCACACATTTGACTTCCTCGTCGTCGAAATATTTACGCAAGCTACCAACGATACGCACAAATACAAAAGATTTTTTTTTTCTAGAAGAAATAAAACATTCTGTGAACGGTGGCAAAAATTACATCCTTCGTTCCCACGCGTGAACATAAATAAAAAAGGTGCAAAAGACAACTCTACCTCAGAACCCCGGCGCTTCTAAGCCACACAGAAAGTGTCGCGAAATCTATTCTTCAGTTCAACAGGAGTCATACGGAGTCTAAATGATTTAGGTTTGTATAGTACGTATCACTAAAGTCTCATGCTCGCATCAGTTTGAAAACAGGTCTTCTCACTCTCGTTCCTTGAGCAACAAGGATGAATGGAACTACAACCTCTATCGAAAGAGCACGTTGCAATCTCTTAGAGTTCAAACAGAAAACAATAATAGGGGTTCATTTTTACGGCACACTTGGGTTCTTTGAGATACGGCGGGTTTACTTAAAAAAGATGCATACATTGGAAGAAACATTTAATAATCTAATTAAAGTAATTAAAGGTGATTCTAATATTACGATGGCAATAAAAAGACTTTACGACCGGTTACCACCGTTCTCAATTAGAGAAAACATTTCGAAATATTTTACAATGCACATCTGGGTAGATCATTTCATAAACGGTGACCACAATTTTTTGCACAAATGTTTCGGCTTTTGTTGGAGCTTCAACAGACCAAAAGGCACTAAACAATGTAGCGAACTATTAAAAAATAGATCGTAATCGAAAGAAAGAAAAACGTTGGAAAGTTCGTACCGAGCAAAAAATCTATGAAATGGGACCAAGCAGCAAGAAAAAGAATAACCGAAGGCTATGTTGCCCAAACTTTGAAACACTGTTACCCAATTTAAAATGCACAATAAATAAATATGTTACATCGTTTACAAATCTTGTCAACACTGATACACATTGGCGTTTTTAGCACATTTTCTCATTTATGGAAAAAATGCATTATTGTGCTCGCCATGTCCGTCTGTCTGTCTGTCTGTCCGTCCGTGACTTCATGTTTTCGTCGACGAGAAAATGCGCTCTCTGTCACTCACTGTAGTGAGTACTGAGTTATATTTTTTCTTCCACCCTAACATTACCCACACAAAATTGGTATATTACCTCCTGTTAACCTGAGCTCTAAGTTTAACCATTAGTTAGGAGGGTCAAGGGAGAGATCTGAGAGTGTCGTGATACAGCATAGTTGCACGGTAATTAAGTTCATCAAGGAAGCAGTTGCCCGTAGCCTGACATGGTAACTGCTAATGGCGGGAGGATCGCTAACCATTAAGCAAACCAGTCACCCATCAGGCTGATGGAATTCTGGCGAGCCAGAGAAGAATTTTAAACTGTTTCAATTTTTGCAGCAGTGCTATCTACAGACTATTTTGATCTAACAATCGTGATATTTTTTTACAAAAAATTATAATTCGTATTTTTGCTTCTTAGGCTAAAACCAGAGTTGAATTTAGGTGACAATAAAGTTCAGCATTAATAAAATTCAGCATGAGAGAGATCTTTGGGAAAAATTTGCTACTCAAATGTCCCATGAATTGTCCAAGAAGAAGCATCCCACAATCACAATGTGGGCAGATAAATCAAGCTGTGGCAAATTAAAAGAACAGAAGAATAGAATTCACACAAATTATCAATCATTCATTGATTGAGCATTATCAATTACATATCAATTAAAGAAAATTTCAGAGAGACTGACCTGAATTTCTTGAAGCCTGTCATCGAGCAGAGCTTGCTGCTGCTTCACGGTCGTCTCGAGGCTCCTGTTGTGCTCCAGCAGCGTCTTGCCGAGCTCCGCTGCCAGCTGCAGGTCTGTCAAAAAATTATTGTCGTTTCAATAAAATTATCACAACCACTCATAACTTTTAATCCATCATTACCATCGGCTAAATTAAAACAAATGGAATATGGAATAACATCTGACGATGGCAAGCGTTTGGCTGAACACTTTGCCAGCCAAGTTTTCTGATGAAATTTGAAGTCACAACATGGCCCCGACAACTACAACTCGAAAGCACAAGACAGATGAGAAAAATGAGATTTGCAAGCAAACGAAAATAAAATCCTGTTGTCTCATCAGTTCTCACCTTCCCCTCGTTAATTAAAAGAAAGTAGAGTAATTTAACAGACATCCCTAATTTCTTACAAAGGGCAAAGGCACCGTTCACGTAGCAAGAAGCAAACAAATCGAGCGATCATGTATTGAATGGCAGAGCGGGTTTAGTCGGTAACACGTGCCTTCCGTTTGAAGGAAAGACCCGCGACATTCACGAGTTTCACCGCTTGGGTGACGAAACGTTTGGTAAAATGTCACACGTGATCCTGAAGTGTAGTCGAACCGGCTGACACTTTGCAGTATTCTATTATTAGTGATCAGCCACGGCAAGCATACACATTCGAAATGAAGTTAATGTTCATAAAATGTGCATGCATTTATGAATAGTACGTAGTGCACCTGCAATAGTTGCATTACAAGAATAGTTGAAACTTTATCGACAGTGCACACATCAACACCCGACCACAAAGCGCTGAGTCTAGATTGATTCCAAGCACCGAAGTCACAGCAGCGTTGATCACTTCCTCTTGAAATCGAAAAAAAGTTGCGTGCGCAAAAAGATAAAACGGAGGCAAGCAGCGTAGCATTTTCTCCGGCACCCAACGCTGTCGCGAACACAACGTTTTAGAGGCAGTAACGCTGACTCAGCCATACGTCGGTCGGGCAACATCTTATTGCTCTAGAAAGCGCGCGTTCTCACCACCGTCACCTTCCGGTGCACACACGCATCTTCACGCTCTGAGAAACAGTGATGAACAACAGCGTCCGCCTTCAAGAAACGGCCTTTCACTGCCCGGTCACAGCGAATAATGCAACCATAAACCAGGCGAATTCGTAGGTATTGGTTAACAAGAATTTGGCATTGAGATGCGTGATTGGGACTTTTTAATTTTACATGAGGTATAACTGATTATCAGGCAAAAGAATACTTCAGGTCATACTAACCACCTATATACATAATGCAATAAAGGCTTTACCATAACAATTTAATCTTGCGCGCTAAGGGTAAGTAGTTAACAAACACGTTTAAAACATGACGGTATTTTTCTCGGTAAATGAGGACCACCAAGAGAATAGTAAAGCTCTCTACAGGAAGTTTTACGCGGCTCGTACAAAACAAGAATATACGTCATGTGTATAAATATATTCAGCTGTGCGAGCCCTGCCGATACAGACCAAATGACATTTTTCAAACCATGTAATATCAACAAAAAAAATTATAAAAAATGCCATTATTAAAATGTGATGCAAACCAAGTAATGAGGAAGTACGATGGTGCACGCCCAGCACTGCAATTAGCAATTGTAATAAGAAAACAGCAACGCCTCGCAAAAACAAACAGTAACGCCCCAAAAATACGACCTTTGTTTTTTAGCGTAAGAAATGCCGCCCTTGGAACCGACCGCAACGTGTATTAGCAAAACGAAATGAACTGCCTCGAAATTTCTGAATTAAAAAAGAACTAAGCGAAATAAAATTTCGACATAGAAATCTTTTGATCCATTAGGTTATTTCCGAAAGCTCTGAAGTTCTAACGAAAACCTTAATGTTGTATTTAAATACGAAACGTTAAAAATTTCAGCGAAAAATATCGAAGTAAATAAATCAAAAGTAACCATCAAAATTGTTCAAAGATGTCAAAATTTCGGCAACAAGTAACCTATATGAGTTCCAAATTATAATCAAGTTCGTTAATTTGTTAAAATCATCAATCTAGCTGCAGCTACAAGCAGCAATTTCATAGCTGTAATAAGTCATAAATAAGGTGAAGCGGCACGCATTCGGCACGTCGTAGTGGGAACGGAAGAATAGCCTGTCATTCAAAACCAAATGTACGTCATTCGATATCGTGACGTGAGATCAAAGAGCTCATTACAAGGCTACAAATCTAATGCCCGGAAATACTGTACGATTTCGAATTTCGACCCTGGGAATAAAGACACTAAAAGTAGAACAATTCAAATGCACTGCATCCAAATCAATTCATTATCAAGTCAGTGTATGGTATCTACTACCAGTTATTGACAGTCCAAAGCAACATCGGATGCGCAACTACTGTTATAACATGGCAATCATAGATGAAAACGAAAAAAAAGAAATTACCACGATAAATAGAAGCAACTAAAAAAAGAAAAAATCGTATTAAAATACAATTCTGAAATATAACGTATCCTATAATAGACAAAGTAGCGTTATAAGCATGTATCCTGAAGCATCAGCATGCCCGCTTGTAACAAACAATTAAATAGCCTTCAGTTTGGCATGACATGGGAAGAAGCTGCTGCTTCGTGAGCCGGTGTAAACAAAGCTGCGGCAATTACTCAATTACTGGGCAGACTTAATGGAAACTGCGTGCGAGGCGAAATTGCCTGTAATTGCGTCCATGAGGTTATAGTGGAGCTGGGGAAATATTATCAAGGAAGAGTTGACGACATGCATCGAAGAGTTGGCATCGACATGCGAGATAAAAGTCTTACATATTCTTTGAAGTCTCATTGAAGTCGATGAAATTTTTAGAACATTCGAGGAGATTTGCGAGGAACCTTATGCAGATTATCGATTGGAAGTCAACAAGATTAAAACAGAAATATTTTCAGGTCAATAAATTCGGTCGATACCGCACTCATCTGCCGACGATACCGCATTCATCGCACCATTCGTCCTTTCGGAACGGCGATCAAAAATTGATGTGCATATAGATTTTAGAACATTTTTGCCAGCAACAAGCTACAATTTTTTTTAATATAAATTTTCCGCTGGACGATTATAAAGTCAAAGCTCGAGGAAACTGTTCACAAAGGCTTAATATAAAACAGTCGTTCCAAATCTCAGAATTCAATTATCATTAAGCTTCTAGAATCGGAAGGTTTCTGTTGGAATTAAATCTCATAATCAAGTTGTTGCCGAACAGCTTTTTCCATGTTTTCTCGTGGCGCATCAGGCTCGTGTAAAACTATCGTCTTCATCATTTCATTGCCAGAAGGCTAAGCTCGTGAGGCCGGGGCATTGCTGTGAATCCATTGCAACAGTCACGTGACGAATACATCATACGACCTGCACACGCAAGCCTTGCAGCCTCCATTCGTCAGGCAACTGGACAGAATTGTTATTCAACACCGAACAGGACGACGCTGTTGTCCAACAGGACCGAGGCGACACTGTTGTTCAACAGGGACCAGGGCGACACTGTTGTTCGAAAGGACTAAGGCGACGCTGTTGTCCAACAGGACCGATGCGACACTGTTGTCCAGCAGGACTGAGGCGGCACTGTTGTCCAACAGGGACCAGGGCGACACTGTTGTCCAACAGGACTGAGGCGACACTGTTGTCCAACAGGGACCAGGGCGACACTTTTGTTCGAAAGGACCGAGGCTACACTTTTGTCCAACAGAGACCATGCAGGGCGACACTGTTGTTCGAAAGGACCGAGGCGACACTGTTGTCCAACAGAGACCATGCAGGGCGACACTGTTGTTCGAAAGGACCGAGGCGACACTGTTGTCCAACAGAGACCATGCAGGGCGACACTGTTCGAAAGGACCGAGGCGACACTGTTGCCCAACAGGACCGAGGCGACACTGTTCGCCTCGGTCGAAAGGACCGAGGCGATGCCGTTTTTGCAAAATGACGAGGCGAAACTGTTGACTAACAGGGACTAGGACCACACGGATATCAACAGGGTCGGTTATGCAAAGAAAAAAGATTACAACAGCGAAAATCAATTAGTTTAAAACGCGACATAAAACTAGGAAGCGGCAGATTTTGGTGAAGTAAGGGTGATATTTGAATACATAGATCTAGCATTAACGAGAGTAAGTTGGGCATAAAGGAGCAAGCTAAATTTCAAACTAATTATTGTAGTGCTAGAAAAGACGTAATTTAACATTAATTGCTGATAATTAACATAAGATCTAAGCAAGAATATTAGGGCAACAACAGCAGCATTAGATTACAGTCACTAGGAGGTATCACGTGATATTTCCTCAGGACTCGCTGGGCACAGGCCAGTAATTTGCAGACGGGATTAGACGCTGCGGCGGAGGCGCAACATGCGACAACGGGAACGCTGGCGCAGTAATACCTGGCACGCATGACAACCAATCGCGACACAGCAAACTGGACGGAGGTCAAAAGCAAGGAATTGTTGTAACAAAGAAGGTGATGATGATTAAGATGATGCGGACGTGTTGGTGATTGATCATGATGATGCGAACGAGTTAGAGGTTGCCGCACAGGATAACGAACATAATGTGGTGGTGAAGGTGATCATAATAGAGTACATAACTAATGATACATGATGATTATAGTTATAATAATAATGCCCGATGGCCACAGCAATGATGGATGATGGCGGTGATGATGGAGGTGCGAACACCATCAGAGGCATGCCGTGCCCAGGGCTCATTCCGCTCGGCCACGCATTCCTTTGATGTGAGAGATTATTATTCCGCCTGCCTGATCGTCTGGATCATCCCGCCTGCCTGATCGTCTGGATCATCCCGCCTGCCTGATCGTCTGGATCATCCCGCCTGCCTGGCTTTCCGTAGCTCTGCAAAATCTAACACTAGCACAACTCAAGCAAGATCAAGGTAATCAAAGATGCTGATGCAGGCGAAATTATTTCAGTTGCTTTTCGTTCTCCAAAATGGTATCACAGATAACCGGCTAACTACAAGCGTCATCATGCGACTCGACATGAATATGACAATATTTATGTGTCCCAAATTTAAAATTCTGCTGATCAGCAAAAAATAAA